CCTGCACACCTGTCGCTGGTATCACTTCTGATCTGCAGGTACCTGGCAGGGGAGCACCCAGGTCTCCACAGAGCCCAGCACACATCTGCTTCTGTCACGGGCCACCAGGCAGGCAGCCTCTTGGAGCTGATAAGCCTGAGACGGACTTGAAGACACGCCACGCTCACCGCCGACTCACCAGCCCCGAGACCAGCCTGTCTCATGGAGGGTGCTTTCAGCCTAGGGGGGCGCGGTGAGAACACAGGGAGGAGGCGACACTCTGAGCGCCCCCCCAAGTCCCCCAGCCTCCCTCGTTGGCCAGTGGACTGGGAGAGGAAGTGACGTGTCACTCCAGGCCAAGGCTCGTGTGACTCTGTCACCCTTCTCCTCCCCTTTGGCGGTGACCGTGGGACAACGGCTTCATGGTGGAGACGCAGAGGCAGCCAGGACCCGGGTCTTCGCCCAGGAGAGCTGACAACCCAATCAGACTGTGCGTAAGAAAGACATCTCTGTCATGGGAAGGCCCTGAGATCTGGGTCTGTTTGTTGTGGCTGCTAAGCACTGATCATCCTGACTAATGTGTTGCCTTTTAATTGTTTTTAAGCCTCGCCCAAGGACATTTTTCCATTGCTCTTAGAGAGAGAGGAAGGGAAAGAAAAAAACCATCGATGTGAGAGAAAAGCATTGATTGGTTGCCTCCCGTACACGCCTGGACTGGGACTCAAACCCACAACCTAGGTATGTGCCGTGGCCGGGCATCGAACCCACAACCTTTTGGTTACGGAACAATGCTCCAACTAACTGAGCCACACTGGCCAGGGCTGACTAACGCATTGCCATTTAAGGAGCCCGGCCTTGCTGGCCAGCCCTCCATGGCTGCAGGCCTCCGGACGCCTCCTTGACCTCTTGCAACCCCCCAGCGAGGGGGCTGAGAGCCACGTGCCTACCCTGTGCAGGGGCCAGGGACCCCAGAGAGGGCAGCTGCCGTCCTCCCCACCCAGGACGCTAATAACCCTGACACCTGTGGCAATGGCCCGTCCTGTGTGACCGGTCTTCCTGGGCCCTGCACCCACTCAGTGACCATCCCTACGCTCCCGCGGCAGGTCCCTGGGTGGTCTCCTTTCTCCTCCTAAACTGCAGGTGGCATGCAGAGCCCTGGCGGCTCCCACTGCCCTTGGGTGGTGTCAAAGCCCCTGCTGTGGTTTTCCAGGCTCTGCCGCCCAGAGGGCCCCACCCCCAACCTTGGTCTCCCACACAACGGACCACGGTGCACCTTTCCCTCCTCTGGACAAGGTTTCTCAGCCTCAGAACTGCTGCCATGTGGGGCCGGATCGCTCTTGGCTGTGGGACCACCCTGTGCATTGCAGGGTGTTCAGCAGTGTCCCTGGCCTGTGTCCACTAGATGTCAGGGGTACATCCTCTCAAATGTGCCCATCAAAAATATCTCCCGGCACTGCCAAGTGGGACATCTCCTGGCGGGGGTGGGGTGTGAGGGGGGATGTCCCCAGGTGAGGACTCTAACCTTTACCCATGAGAGGCCCTTCTTTCATTTGTACTTGGCTTCCTCCTCTTCTTCCTCATCATCTAAAGATTGGGTCCAGCCACCCCACCTCCCAGAAGCCCCCCGGGCTCGCCCACCCAGGCTGGTCTAGGGACAGCTTCTCACGAGCCCGCTTTCCACCTCCCTTTGCACAGTTCCATGCTGCTTGGGCCGCACTGCATTGGACTGATCTGTCGATATGCTGTCACCCAAGGTGGGCTCCTCAAAACCTGCCACCAAACCGTGCAAGTGCTGACCACCTGGACCTGAAGAGGCACATCAGAACATCACTCCAGAAACCACCCAGGCAGGAGCAAAGGTCTCCGACCAGAGGCAGGAGGCTCTGTGCAGCCAGAGGGGGTCGGGCCCAGCAGGGACACAGAGAGAGAGAGACGGTATAGGGGCCACACCTGCAGAGGAAGGGCCTCGCAGGGAACAGCCTGCATGAAGACGACGAGGTGCAGATGTCAAGGCGAGGCTGGGAAAGGGCACGGCAGAGCCCAGGGTGGGGCTCGGGGAGGTCGTGGGAGGAAGGATGTGGAGCCGAAGGAGGCCCATTAGAAGACCCTGGGACTTATGCCTCGGCCCAGGAAGTATTCTGCAGGATGCGAAGTTTGAAAAGGGAGAAAAGGTTTCATGGTCACGCAAGTCCAGGAACTGTCTTGTTCGCAGCTAAATGGGGCTCTTCCTTGCGGGCCCTCTCAGAGCCTTCACTGAGCTCCCGTGAAGTCGTCACACGGGGGGGGGGGGCGCAGGCGTGCCGGGCTCGTCTTCAGGGAGGGGGTGGCATGCAGTGTTCCGTGCACGTAGTTGGCCACACGGGTATTTTTCTCAGAGCCTCTCAAGGGCCAGGTGTCTGGAGTCTGCCCTTTGGAAAATGGCCCTTGGAGCCAAGGCACCTGAGCTGCATCTTGAGGGCTGTCCCATGGCCTCAGCCAATGCTGGGGCCACGGCCACTCGCTCAGCCCCTCTGCCAGCCCCTTGCTCTCCAGTACCTGGGGCGTTCACAGGACTGAGAAGGAAAGCAGGCTCCTGAGAGCACAGCCACAGGAAGGGCTGAGAAGGCGGTGCCAGATCGATTGTAGGAAAACAGTCAGCCCACGGGACCACTTCGACCACCTCCCCCAGGCCCCCGGGCCAGAACATATGGTGCGGTTTAAGTTTTAAAAACTGCGGAGCACTTCAGGAAAAAATGTTGGCAGGCTCCGAGGCACTTGTAAAACTGTCTGAGCTGATGGGAGGCTGGGCCCCTCCTCCCCCTCCTCCCTTTCCTCCCCCCTCCCTCCTGGAGCACCGAGTGGGGGCACAGAGGTCTGGAGGGCCGGGCTCGGGCCCGTGAGCAGAGGCTTCAGGATGAGGTGGGCCGAGGCGGGGAGAGAGGGACGCAGCCCCACCACAGCCCTGGGACAGGCAAAGAACCATTTCATCCTAATGGACATCAGCCGGGTTGGCAGATACACAGGAAGCAGGCGGTGAGGGCAGCAAGGGGGCAAGGGACCACAGGGGACACAGGGCTCCTGGGTCACCACAAGTAGGGCTAAGTCCCAGCTGTGTGACCCGGGACAGTGACAGTCCCTCCCGAGCCTCCCCATCCTCACCTGCACGGTGGAGGCAACAGAATCTCGTCACGGGGTAACACAAGGACTAAGTGAGATGGCACCGGCACAGAGCGGGCCCTCGATTCCTGATAGTGGCCACTGTCCAGAGGGGCCCCAAGCAGGTGGGCAGTCCCGAAGGGGTGGGGACGCAGAGCTGGGTGGGCAACGCTGAGCCACTGTGAAAACTGCCTTGGCCAAGGGCGGCGGAAGGTCCCACGGGCCATGCCCTGTGGCAGGCTCCTCCCTCCCAGGCCGCACTGGCGCCGTCTGTGAGCAGGGCTACCTGTGTCTCGTCTCCTGGAGGCTAGCAACATCACAAGAGCGTCTAGGCAGCGTCTAGCTCCCTGTAGGCGCTCAGCCAGTGAGCTGTCATTCTTAGCCCCCAGGGGTGCAGGGGCTACTGTGGATTAAACCCCCGTGTCACCCGGATGCCTTCAGAAAGGGTTGCAGGCTTTCGGAAGCCCAGCTGTCCCAGGAGGGGCTACTGCACGTGACTTGGATTCCTTCCATCCACAAGCCCACCTGCGTCCCAAGTGGAAGTCCGCCTGCGTCACTGCGGCACCGGTTTCCGTGCCTCGTGCCTCAGCGCACTCGCCAATGCACACGGGCCGCGGGGTTGGTGCCCTCCGGGTGGCGGGCTGGCAGGGCCTTTCGAATCAAGCTAATTAAAGGCCAACTGATTGATACTCTTGGGACGGTCGGGAGCTCCCTTTCGTCAGGGGCTAAACGTCACTTCCTGGGAGTCCCTCTGTCTCACTGGCAACACGTGTCTCTCCCTGCGGAGAAGCGGCTCCTATCTCATGCTTCCCTTCCCTGGGCTCCTGTCGAGAATCACCTGCCATTCCCTCGTGTGGGCTTGGCGGGGACAAAATCTGATCGTCCAGCTTGCAGGGACCTCTGAGATCATCTGGTCAAGCCTCACCCTTTGACGGCAAGAACACGGAGGCCCGGGCGGGGGAAGACTGGGTTTCAGGTAAGTTGGGGGTGGACCCGTCTCCTGACCTACAGGCCTGTGTGTGGCCACCCTGGCCGCACTGTGTGTGGATGGACAGACAGTCAGGACCCCGTCACACAGGCTGTGGTGACATTAATCCACCAGCAGCTTGGGACCCGACGAGCACCCATCCTGGGGGCTGGAGCCCTCCAGGTCCAAGTCCTGGGTGAGGACGAAGCCACCGCTGGCCCACAGGGGCGCAGGACACACACAAAGCTGTTTTCAGGCCTCATCTCAGGCTTTCGGGGCCTCCAGGGGGTGGGCGGGCGGGGGGGTCGTTTTTAAGAAAGGGGAACTGAGGCCCAGTGAGGGACATGATGGCATGAGTAGAAGAGCTGGGACTGGAACCCCAGGCTCCCAGGCCAGGCTCCGTGACATGGATGGAGAACACATTTATCTGTCAAGGTGGGGTGAGAAGACACAAGTTCCAGGGAAGCAAGGCCACCAGGACCCTGGAGACAGGAGTGGGCAGGGATGGAAAGAGTCGGGTCACTACCTCTCTTCCTTCAGCCACAAGGGGGCGCTCTTGAGGTGGGGTCAGGGTGGCCCCTCACCCTCAGTAAACTCCAGAACCTACTTCAGAACACTCTGCACTGTGTTACATGTTCCACTGATGTCGCCTCTGCCACCCTCTTTCCCTTCCAACACCCCCAACCCCTTCTGCGCCACACTGACCCCTCACAACCACCCCGGCTGGCCTGGCCTGGACCAGCCATCTCAGCCCTGCCGGGCATGGGCGCTCTGGGGAGGACGAGAAGTCTGGATCTCTGGAGCCCGATGGCAGCCACCAGCCCGGGGCTTCCCAGCTGCCCACACTGCCATGCACCCCATATTCCTGTGTTAGGCTTCTCACTCCTCCTGCTGGGAGCCTGGGGGGTGGGTCTCTTACCTTTGGGGTGAGGTACTTGGTCATAATTTCCTTCCCTTTTTCTCCCAGTTTTTCATCTGGAGTAACTTCATATTCTGCCTAGAAGAGAAGAAGGAAAAGAACAATACAAGATTTGCTTATGAGCTCCCTATGGTCGCGGAACTTTCAAGGTTCCTGGAGAAGACACCCTGGAGGTAACCTGACCAATCCCCTCCTCCCACGGGGCAGGGTGCTGAGGCCCAGAGGGGGCAGAAGACCCGACACCCCACCCAGCCCACTCTGCACCTTGTGGATGTGTGCTTAGGACAGTGGCCTTCCTTCCAGCTGCCCATCAGAATCCCTAGGGAGCAAACGCCAGTGCTCGGGCCCCACCCCGCCCCGTACCAGGTCAGACCTTCTGGCGACGAGGGCTGGGCATCCAGGTTGCGATGCCAGGAAGCTGGGGCCGAGATGCCAGGAAGCTGGGGCTGAGAACCACCAGCATAGATAAATCAAAGGAAGTCACCGGGAAATAACAAGCCGCCAAACTGGAAGGCCCACCCCCGAGAGGCTGCCTTAGGTCAAGCAGGTTACAAGCCGCCTGACCTTAGACAGTTTCCTCAACCTCTGCAAAACGCACTTGGAGAAAGCGCTGCCTTGTAGGGTGACTGTGCAGCTAGAACGCATTAAAGCTCTTAGCCCAGAGCTGGGCACGTAGTAAATACTCAGTTAACAGCTGCCACACTGACGACCTTGTTATTGTCACACCTTGCAAGCGAAAACAACCATATGAGGGTCTTACCTCTTGTAGCTTTTTAGCTCACAAAGTGAACACACAGAGATTTTTCAGACGCTCTGGTCTGAACCTTGAAAGAGCCCAGGTGGTGATGTGGGAGGGAGGAAGGAGCCCCCAGTACAGCCCCTCATCTGCATGTGGAGAGCAGGGTGGGGTTCTCTGAGGGGAAGTGGCAGGGCTGGGACTCGGGCCGCCAAGCGTGGAGCTCTTTCTCAGCAACACCGAGGAATCTGGGATTCCAGGTCGCAGACGAAGCCAGCAGGACCTGGCTCTACAGAAGTGAGGCCTCAGGACGGAGGGCCTTTCCATTTTCCCCGACCCAAGAGGAGCCCCTTCACTCACACCCGATGCCCTTGCCAAGTGCAGGAAAGACCTGGACTTAAAAAGAAACCCGGGCAAGTTTGCCTTTCTCATCTCCACCAGGAACTTCGTCTACCCCTCAAGGATGTGTCAGTCTCGGTCTGCATGTACAGCTATTTCAAAAGAAATGACGTCAGCACACAGCGACCGAAATGCCTTCCTCTTCTGCCTCACTGTGGAGCTAGACGCCCTGCTCCTAGGGCTTGGTTCACGGCAACCCGGTGTCCAGGGACTGGTTTGTCCCCAGGCCACCCTATAAGACCCTCCTGGAAGAGGGGAAGCGCAGGGGGCACCTGGAATGGCCACAGAGGCAGCCAGGCTCGTCTCCATCCACAGCAAGTGAGCTTCCTTTTATTACCATTTCTCTTCTAATGCAGAATCAAGATGCCACAGTGTTCTCCAAGGGAGAAACACTGCCACTGCGACCACCCGAATCACAGGACAATGGGACGGTGGTTCAGGAAGGAACCCAACGACTCACTGAACAGAGCCGGACACCGCGGCTCAGGGAAGCAAAGGACTGGCCCAGGGTCACACAGCTGGTCATAGCAGAGCCAGCACGGAAGTGCAGGCCTTTTGACCTCCCCTGGGCCCCCGCCTCCCCACCTCTCTCTACAAAGGCCAGTGCCTCCTCACCAGTGGGATGAGCCCTGTGGGATCGGTCACTTCCTGATGGTTTGATTAATGATGCCTTGGGACTGTTTAAGGAGAGAAGGTAGCTCTCTTTCTGATGTTTTCTCCCTCTGTGCTCTCCAGCAACCCCCAAAACTGATGCACACCATATGGAGTAGATCAGAGACTCACCCTGCGAGGCAGGTATTATGATTCCCAATTTACAGAGAGAGAAACGGAAGCTCTCAGAAGCCCAAATGCGACCAGTTCACACCCAGCAGAGCTACCAAGCGACAGGGCTGGGGGCCGAGGCTACGGCACAGTTGACCACCCTTTTTCCGGAGCGAGGAGAGAAGCACCCAGTGTCTGCTGCCCTGGACACCCGCCTAGTGGTCTGGCGCCCTGGGAATTTACCCAGACTGCTTTGCAAGGCCAAGACCACCTCTTGGGATAACTCAATCCCATGTAGAACCTTGGATTTGCACTGTCCCAAAATATACCTGTGAAGGCAGCTCTATTTAACCAAACGGAGGCCTCAGACTCACTCATCAGCCTCAATAACCAGCTGAAAATATTATTGCTCTAGGTATTAAAACCCAGGTTAAAAGAAAATACCGTCACTTTCAGGTCAGCTGCCTCCCAGCAGAGGCTCGGCTGGTGGCTGGGAGCCACAGCTCCGCAGGGAGGCAGCCGGGAGCACGCGGGGACAGGCGTCCCAGCCGGGGATCAAAAGGCCTTTCTTTGAGAGTCCACATCAGGTCACCGCCACTTGAAGAACATTTGTGTTGGAGGCAGAAAACCAACAGGCGGCTTCCAACCGGCCTTTCTGTGCTGATTAAGTCACCTGGAGTGACAGGCCAGGTCTCCACGCCGCCCTGTCATGAGGGGCTCACAGGAGACATGTCTCTAGAGGCCACCCTCACAGAGGGCAGCTCAGCGGGGTGGGCAGCTCACACTGCCCAAGGCAGGGGACCACCCGGAAACCCACTGCCAGGGTGACACCCTCGCCCAGGTTGTGTGCAAAAGCTGCTGAGATCGGCTTCAACCAGAAAACATAAGCAGCAGAGAAGAGGCTGGGCCACCAGCCCGAGGTATCACAATTAGAGCCGGCTTGAGAAATGGCGGCCACCCAATGGCTTCAGTGACCAGAGCGGTAAGCTACGTGCAAGCACGCCTCTGGGGCTTCCATCTGTCAGAGGGCTCCCTCCTGCCAGAGGCGGGTGGGATTTGTCCCCACCCCCAACAGAGGGGACACACACTACCCCCTATGCCGGAACGTCCATTTGAAACCGTCTGCTGCCCCGAGCTTGGCCTGAGCAGCCAGAGCACAAAGGGCACCCACGCTGGTCCACTCGGAGGGGCCTCTGCTGCCCAAGATGCACCCGAGGGAGGTGCCGTTCAGTGAGTCTGTGCTTGGCCAAGCGATTCATGCCAGACACAGGGGTAACCTTTGAGGAGGAGATGCTGCCCCCCCACAAAGACCAGAACTACACTGAGTTTAAGGCAAAGAGAATGACTTATGTCCCTGCAGCTGCCAAGCAGTGCAAACACCTGTGGACGCCCTGGTCTGTGAACCTGCCATTTCACCCTCTTGGCCTGGCCTAGTAACACCGTCAGTCTCAGACAAGGCTGGTGGGAAGGTGTCCCCTCTCTCACGACACGTTTGCCTCGGGTGATTTTTTAAAGTGTGAAGACTGCAAGCTGGCCGACAGGGACCTACCGTGTTTTCAGAGAAGCCAGTTGGAAGAGCAGAGTCTGAGCCGAATTCCTCTGGGCCCCTGACTGGCTACAGACGTCACGCCACCGCCCTCCCCGGGGACCCTCTCGGCCCTGACAGGAAGTGAAGTCAGAGATGCTAGGAGGTCTTGCCACCTCCGGCCCCTGTAATTACTGATGTGGTCAGCTTTTCCAGTGTCCTCACGGTGGGGACAAGTGACGTGCCTGGCTGGCCACGCTGCTTCGCCAGGGACGCTTTTGGAGAAACACCCGGCTCCGCCCCCACTGGCCTCGGGTTGACCACGTGGGAGGCCCTTGCCCTGTGGAGCTGCTCTCCACCCTGTAGCAGGACAGGCAGGGGTGGGGGGCGGGCAGTGATCTGCTGGCTCCCCTGCTGCGCACAGGGGCCCCTGCACCCCTCTTTTGAAGACCAGTCGGACAGGCTCTCCTCTGATCTCCAGCTGCCATCTGAGCAGCCCACTTGGGTCTTCACTGCCCCCTCCAAGACAACAGGCGGGGAAGGACCACAGAGAGAAGGGAGGGTGGGGTGGGCCTCTGGCCACACTGGGGATGGACTGAGCGGTGGGAGTGGCCCCAGGGTGACCCCGGGCCACACTGATAGGACCACAGACACCAGCTTTCGAGATGTGTCCAGCCCAGGGCAAGAGCTAAAAAGGAGGAGGGAAGGAAGGGGTGCACCTCTCTCATGGGCGGAGGGAATAAATTCGCCTGCAGCTGCCAGAGGAACTGCGCTCTCACCTCCCTCCGCCCCATCGTCCTCCCGTCCTCCCAAGAGCTGAAGCCCTGAGAGGCCCCCTGCCCCTGTCCCCGCACTGGCCACCATCCAGCTGCGTCCCCTGTTCCCCCAGCCCTGCACAGCATTTCTCTGTCCGGACAAAGGTCTTCGACTCTCCCCGTTACTCTTTGGTTCTCAGAGAAGAGTCCCAAGCTGCTCTGGTGCAGGCAAAACTGTCCTCTCTTGGGTCCCGGAACCCAAGGCCGGGTCGGACGACCATATCGTGGTGATAATGGAAGCGCAGCTGGGCTCGCTCGGGCGCCAAGGATGGGGGTGCCTGCTCTCACCTGCCCGTGTGCGTGTGTGCACGGGTGTGTGTGCGTGCAAGCGTGTGCTGGCCTCCTCCTCTCAGTGCTGCCTGAGACGTGTCGTCCCAGTGGCAGAAGACAGGGTGGCCCGTGGCTCCCGGGTTTTTTCACGTCAAGCCTTCTCCACCAGAGGAGGACTTGCCCTCCCATCTGTAAAGCCCGGGCTCCTCCCTGCTCCAGTCGACTGAGGTTCGGGGGTGATGTCATTCGGAACGTGGCAGCTTCAGGACAGTTATGCTGTCTGGGAGCATGGGTGGGCGTCCAGAAGGACCACTTTATAAGGGCACTTTTATTTTTGTTTTTAATATATTTGATTGATTATGATATTACCATTGTCCCAGTTTTGCTCCCTTTGTCCCTTCCAGCAACCCCACCCCTCAGTTCATGTCCATGGGCCCTACATATAAGTTCTTTGGCTTCTCCATCTCCTACACTGCTTTTAACATCCCCCTATTTTACACCTACCATTTATGCTTTTTAACTCCTGCACATCTTCTTCCATTCTCCCCGCTCCTGCTCCCTGCTGACAACC